ATAAACGGGCGACATGGGAGAGGCTAGAACATTCTCCGGATGGGATTGAAGACAGAACTGACAGTAGAAAAGATGAACTCATCTCCCAAGGCATGTATAGCAGTGAAAGATGGTACCGAGCAACTTCGTGAAGGATTTTTTTTCATGTTGGATCGACCCACTGCAAAGGGTAGCACCCACTGCGTACCACTAGCCACCAACATGTACGACACATGATTACATGAAGGGCCTTATATGAATTTATGTACCTGTGAACACCATACGTGAAAACAGGTGTCAAAATGAAGAAATAATTTACAGGAGCATCACGCATCTATGAACAATAGCGATAGGAATAGCAAGAGAGAAACCCAAACTCGAAATTCGTGGTGGCTGTCGGGGTCTCCACATAACGCTGGCGGGGTGAGCAGCCCACGCAGGAATCGATATCTGCCACTTGACGCTGAGCGAGAGGACAACCTCACGCACCATCTACCATCTTTGAAAACACCATAAAAAAGGGTACAGTGCGTCAATTCGGACCTTGCCGACCTTCTGAACAAAACACCTTTTCATTCACCAACCTCTTGGCCAACCGCTGCAAGGTTGGACTCCGCGGAGTTGGAGGTGGACATTTTGAGGGTGACGTTCTTGCTCGGGGTGGCATGGTGTGTCCATTCCTCGAGGGGTTGGTTCATGAAGTAGGCGTAGTTCATCGGGAAGTCCTTCTTGACTGGCTCCATGGCCTCATCGAACAGGACCCTGGTAGGCATCGTCGCCGCATCGTAGACCGCCTGTGAATGGTTCTGCTTGCCAGCACAAAACAGTATCAATCGGGGCGGGGCAACAACAACGAAAAGGACGAAAAAGGGAAAGCGTGACCCCGCCTGATGAGCTAACGTGTTCGAACTTCGAGAGGTGCGTCGACTGGCGCCATAATAGATGGGACGGGCACAAAACGCATGCGGCGGGAAGAAGGTGTTCGCGAAACATTTGTTTGAGAGGAGGTCCATCACTCACGGCGACAACATCCATACTTCCATGCCCTGGTGTGAACAACATGGGGTGGTGACACGTTCGCATGATGAAATATTCCTCCAGCAAGGGAGCACAAAAATGGGCGGGAACTATATCTCGCACAACTATGTAGGCATCACGTTTTTTGTTAAGATTTTTGGTTTGGGGGGGGGGGTGCGTGCCGGGAGTCCTACATAAGGGGGCCGACATGAAGCATAGGGGCCCTACACGCGATGTACAGAAGCCGCATTACAATACGGGGACCCCTCACGTCACCAGAACATATGTGATCGGCTCAAACCACGGGTGAAGCGTCCTCACAAGTAGCACACGACGTGTCCCCCATATACTGTACATGCGGTTTGCGGGAGGTGGGCTATAATCCCAACGAGGCAGTAGCGAAAAAGGATTTTTCGGCTCTCTCGGGGGGGTATGTACTCTACATGTAGTTGGGCGAGTGCTTCATCGTGTGCACCTGGCCTCCAGCAGCAGCGAAATGTGCTATTGGCTGCCGAATACTCCACAGAATGTCGAGGGGTTGCGATGCGCCACGACGTGCTGCTAAGCTCACAATCATCTCATCATTTGGAACAACACAAAACAAAGGACACTGCTTTTCCCCGATTTCTACTCACTTTTCCCATTGCCTTCAGCTTCTTGTTGGTGACGAGGTGCCTCACGCACGTACGCCACGGCGCTATCGGTAGAACCGCATCGAGGGCCGCCCGAGATCCTTTGTGGCCGTGCATGTAGAACGTGACCTTGCCTGAGGAAAGGATTCGCCGCATGTGCTCGTTCCGGAGGGTGTGCTCAAGCAGGAACTTGTAGTTCGTCGAGTTCTCCTTGTCTGCGATGACAGTGCTGACGTGGATGATTTGGTTGTTGCTGTCGTGCATGCAGAGGACGTACATGACTCCCCTCCACGCACCCTTGAGATGGCCAGCGTCCATGGCCACTATCTGTGCAGAAAGGCGCAGATAAATTGGGTATTTCGTGAGGGCAAAGGCCAAACGGTTGGAAGTGCTCGTAGATCTCGTATGACTCTGGTTGTATTGATGCCAAAATGTTGTTTGGGATGCCCGCCCCCCTTAACCCCGCCATCAGCTGTTTTGGACGCGGGCACCTTCAAACGGCGAAATAATGCAGACAAATGCGCTGGAGCAACATGCCATTATAAGACGTAGTCAGGGCTTCATGGAAGGCCCTTCATGGTAAGGGCAGGTAGGAAGTCAACAAATAGGAAAGGATGAGAGCTACAGTACAAATATTAGCAAACAGGTGCATACAATGTTCAGAAGGGAACAGTCCTTGCTCACCATCCCGCGCACACATGGCTCGTTCGAACAAGTTTGGGTACACACTAGATCAGGAACATGAACCCTTGCAAAGTCGGCGACAGCATTGTCGTTGTCAGGGAGGTACTACAGCAGTGGGGTTCCCTCTATAGTGCGGGTGCCCGCTATATTGTGGGTGTACGCGCTTGGCACATACCCGCACTATAGAGGGACCCCCACTGCTGTGCAGCAGCAGTGAAGAGGAGCAGCCCTTTGGTTTGTTTGGCAACACACTGGAGTACACGCTAAAACACAGAGATGTTGCCCGTTCGAGATAAAAAGCGAGCAATCCATAAAGTGTTCGGCCCCACGTCTCACGTAGCGCACACACACGTCGCACACACATCATCACCACGAGCAATGGGTACTGCTGTCCCCATCATACAAGTACAAGTACACACACGCTACATACACGCGACCTGGCATGGCGACCAAAATTCAAGCCGGCCCACAAGTGTAAAGCTGAGGAGCAACTGCTATTGGCTCTGACCTCTGACCGCTTGGCATGAGCCTAAATTGACCTCAGAGTTGCATTAAAATACAACACGCAGTGAGAGACATTGCTGGTGAGCTCAATTTTGTGTGGCTGAAAAGCGAGGGCGCACCCGATTGTTCCCTTAAAATGAGAAGGGCGAAATGAAGAGCACGGCTGCCTGCGCTCACCTCGCTTCGGGTGTAAGAACAACACTGCTTATGCCTCCCGCACGTTCGTTGATCGACAACTTGGGGGCAATGGATGGCAGAAAATTATGTAGAGAGTTCAGAGATGATGTGTGGTACCGTTACACACGAGACCGCATCGACGTGACCTACGTATTGTTTGTTACTATTTCAGTGGCTCTCCACGGCTTTCAATGGCTCTCCACGGACGGCTTGAATCATTCCCAAAAGCAATCGGTAAATCTCAGCAAACATGAAAAGCCAGCAACCCCAAGAGATCCAACCCCAAGAGATCCACTCGCCTTGGGGACGCTGTGCGCGGCGACGAAGGCGGCGTTGCCCAGCATCAGGAAGCTTCTCACGAACCGCTTGTCGCGGCTCATCTAAAACAAGCACACATCACACAAGGGATAACCACGGGAAGGAAGGTCAGGACCCGAACGACACACGAAAGAAGCATAGACTGTGCACGTTGCACACAAATCATGTGTGGTGAGATCGAGATGGAGACGAGAAGTAACAAGCTACCGTCATTCCTCACAGCTGTGTACAGAACCTACGGTAACGTGACGGCCCAAACAACGTGCTACATGTGGCACTGCTGTTGTCTACATGTAGTCCTCATCCAACCTTGCACTGCTGCATGACGTGAACATCGACTGAGGGCCCAGATCCCAACTCTTCTTACCTCGACCGTGGCAACGGAACCCGGGCTATCGCGCTCGATCCCTTCGAAAAATGATGGAATACGCGCAATGGCAGCCGCTTCATCCTCCCTCGTAGAGGTAGCGATGCGCTTCTTGGCTCTCCTGGGACGTACGATCGGAGACGGCGAAGCCCACGGTTTCGAGGGTTCGCTTGATGGCGGGACCGCCGATCTTGGGGTTGGCACGTGCAAGTTGGTCCACCAGGGGCTGCACCACTGCGGAGCTAGTGCGCCCGCCCCCACCGCAGTCGACGTGGGAGCTCTCTACCTTCGTGATCTTGAAGTCGCCGTTCCTCTGTTGGCAACCCTTCACGGACCAACTTGTGCAAGTCTTGCACACAAGGTGGATCTGTCGGCTGCCAGCACCGCTTCCATTCTTCATGGCTCGCCCTTGGGCGGCAAGCTCAGCTGCTACCGCCACCCTAAGCGCCTTGCGGCTGGGGAATGTTTGCTGTTCCGTAACGGGCACTACCTAGTAGACAAGCCGGCCGCCGAAGCTCCGGCGCCGCCACTCGCTCCTTCCATGATTGTGTCCTGCTGCTGCTCAATTTGTGCGCGTGCTACTACAGCAGTACCCTTCCTGCCCTCCCTCCTCTCTCTGCGGCGGCGAGCTCGCGGCCACGACAACACCACCCGTTTGCACATGCGTGCAACTCAACCATGCTGGATCGGTCTGGCGTTCTTGGTGTGACCCGTAATCTCGCAATTAGACTACAATAGAGTACAGCAAGCAGTAGTCCTCGGGGTATTGTCCATGTGCATATATATGCACAGCATATAGAGTAGAGACTGGTGTCGACTGCTTTCCGAACGGCGTTGGGTTCGCCAGCCATGGTTGACTGAGAGCGGGAAGAGTTGAGGTTGGTGTTGTTTCGCAGGGGCGGAAACTGATTCCTGCTCCGTTTCCATGGTTGTTTTCGGGCGGGAAGACTCGCCGTATGGTATCCCATGGTTGGGGGGCAAAAGGATTTGGGAAGATTCCTGCGGAGGAAATGGTTGATGGAAGGGTCTCATTTCCCGTCAGTCCAGGGTACATTTCCGAAAACAGGGTACAGTTTTTGAGAAAAGTAGCCACGGCAGGGTATACCCTGCGCTTTTTGCGACGCGGCGGGGTGAAAGTGGGTTTTGACCAATCATATGGGTTCATATCACGTCGCTGTACACTATGTACCCAGGTCTGTCGCTTTTCGACCAGGGTATACCCTTTTGTGTCGCTTTCCCTAATTTCCGCCCCCGAGACTTGATTCTGGTGATTGGCTTGGTCTACTTTCAGCAGTGCACTTCGAAACAAGCAGAAACAGCACCTGTAACAAGACCAAGTTCTGGTTGTCCGAAGCAAACGAATCGGAAAACTTGAGAGCCACTCCGTCACCAGTCTCCACTGCTTCCTCCAGCGGCCGATGCCTCTTGCGGGCAGGTCCGCTAAATAAGAGCATCGGGTGGGAGGTAACACGCGTACGGGTATGGATCTTCAAACACAGCAGACAGGGCTGGCGAGGAATGTGGGCAGTGTGTAAAGCAATGGAGAGAGATGAGTAAGAACGCGCATCGCAAATACCTCGAAAGAACAGGACAGTCTTCGCCAGATACCATCACGAACTCTGTAGATGGTGATGCAGCGTGGTGCTTTGATAACACACAGCGCAGCAGGGCGCCGGTGGGGCTCCGTGTGTGGAAATGTGATTTTGAAAATTTCCCTGCGGGGGGGGGGATGGAGATATGGTTGTGATCCACGGCGCCTTCGCGAGTAACGGACGAACTTGTCATTCTTGTCTGTCGTTGAAGGGCGCAGCAGTGCCGGGTACCTCGTACGCATACCCAGGGTCAGATGCGCGTGCATTGCATGTTTAACCTAGCAGGAGGGGTACATGCTCAACAGCTTCGTGACGTGCAGAATATTGGTACGTACGTTCGGTCGTCATCTCGAGGTCACGATGCGTATGAACAGCAGCAGCAGTGTTCGTGGAACATGATCCAGCAATTTTCGTCGTTGACGTCCGCTAGCACGCGTCCATCTAGACTATCGACGTTTGCGCGCAACTACCGCTGCCCTGTAGCACGAAAACTACAGCAGTATTATGTACCACACTTACCTCGTACACAACCGCTGTATCGTACGTAAGACACCGTACACGTCCGCCCACGATCGAATTGGCGATTCAGGTATAAGGTGTTAGTCTGTGGCTGCAGTAGTAATAATGGCGGAGGTATTCAGTTCTGCTGTGGACACGGCGGCGGATTCCCAGGCGGCTCCGGTTAAGCTAGACAGCGCCGACATCACGACGATGGAAGCCACCTCGGTGGCATCCGAAAGGGCCCAAGAGATTGCGTCGGCGGCAGTGTCAGAAACAGTGTCAGCTATGCTCGACAGCGCGACCACGATGGCAGTAGCCGCTGTCGAGAGACCCGTGCAGCAGGTGCTGGCCCTAGCAACAGCTTCGACATCCTCGGGTCACGAAACAGCCGTCGTCCCGCCACTGCTCTCCGACGCTCCCGAATTGTCGAAGGACCGTGCCATAAGCAGCATCGAGCTTTCCGGACGTGATCGCGAAGATGATGAGAGTTCTGGGGGCGAAGAAGGGACGGCGTTGAAGCCTCCGGCAGAGGCTGTGCTCTCTCCTCCCCCACAGCACCTGAGAAACGAGAGCGATACTCCTGGAAAGGCGCCTAATAGGAGCAGGACTAGCCGGGGAGATGACGACGATGCGGCGGTGATCCCCGACGTAGATCGTCCCATTAATGACGATGTCAACAAATGTGATGATGTGGAGGGAGCCCACCCGGAGAAGTACGAGCGCAAAGGCATGCGCGATAAACAAGGAGGTGGCGCGCGCCAGGAAGACACGCAAGAACGGGTCGGCAACGGGAAAGCGCAAGACGATAGCACAGAGAGACAGCGAGGACGAGAGAACAAGGTAGACAACGGGGAGGAAGTCGGGTCGTCAAAGGATGGCGATGGCCAGATATTGCATCATTCCGGGCCCGAAGACGGAACAACTGTCTTGGTGTCTGGAGTGAGAAAGGGTGCGGTCGTACAGGTGAAGAAAACAGTCGTACGGTGGACAGGTAGGTATGGACACAAGACTCGTAGGAAGGTGGTCCCGTTTCAAGTAGCTCCAGGAGCTCCCTTTTCCGGTTCGACCTGTAGACCTTAACCCTACCCCTATTCATCCCACCGGGTTGGCAGGTTGTCGAAAGATTGCACCCGTCGTACCAGCTGATCGTCTCGGTGAGGCTGGCTGCGAGCGCTCTGTCGTCGGTGGAGCGGAATGGCACGCTTGATGAAAGCGAGAGCAGCCACCGTCAAAGAGGTAGAACTGTAACCTCCGAGGAAGGAGGCAACCCGGTGAACGAGTACGGCAAAGCTACCGTAGCAGCAAGTCTGTCCCTCGGAAAGTCGGAGATAATGGGAGCTCTTGAGAGGTAACGACATAGCGTCTGTACTGCAGGACAGATGGGCCCCGCAATTAAAAGGCTCACGCTTACTCAAAGAACAAGTTTTTTCCGCAATGGCTACACCTCGGCGTGTGAGCCCTGCACTGTTCCTACATTGTATCCTATGCTACATGGCACCAAATGTAAACCCACTAATAAACCTCGACCCTACGTACATTGATACTTCCTCTGTATCATAAGTTAGGGTACCTAAATGCAATAGATTGTCTGGGTGCAACCGTGTTAGTGATGGTAGCATAGTCGGGTTTGTAAGAAAGATATAACAAAGAAGAAGCGATGGAAAAAAAATTAAAAAAAACGAACATCTATTTCTGTATCTACTATTGGTCAAAATGTACCCTATTTTGGCCTGTTTTGGGAATATTTTTGAGAAAATATTTTGGGATATTTTTTGAGAATTCTCGACAAAATTCTCAAATCCATTTTACTACCCTACTCTAGCGATGGAATCGCCCCCCAGCACACCACCTCGCAAAAGGGGCACCGAATTATCGGTTGGTAGGCGCTATGCCATGGCGGTAGAAATTGCGATGGGCATTCAGCCGGGGTTGTCAAGGATTCCCAAGGGCGTGCTTGACCCGATCTGCGAACGCTACGGTGTTGGAAAGAAGTACCCGTCCAAGTTGTGGAAACGGGTCAAAACCCAGATCGACAACACCCAGGAGCTGGACCTTTCAAACGAAGCAAAGTGGGCGGCCGTCGCTTCTCACCCCTTCAAAGATTGCGGCGGCATCGAGTCCAAGTGATGATGAGGAAGAATAGTCGACTTTTTCTTTTTTTTCCCCGCCACCAACCAACCCTTCTTTTTGTCCCGCAAGTGTCTTGATTTTAGTGTGACCCCCCAAGTGTCTTGGTTTTAGTGTGTGACCCCCAAGTGTCTTGGTTTTAGTGTGGTTCACTACTATACTGATTTTAGTATAGTGGGCGCGACATGGATCGTTGAGTAGAGGGGGGGGTTGGATGAGGGCCCTACTGTTGCTTGCTTTGCCCCGTAAGTGTCTTGGTTTTAGTGTGGTCCCCCCAAGTGTCTTGTTTTCAGTGTGGGGGCCACTATTATGCTGTTTTTAGTATGGGGGACGCGTCATGGATCGTTGAGTAGAGGGGGGGCTAGGTTTAGGGTCAGGGATAATTCTTGGTATTTTTGCCTTGTTTTTGTCATTGCCCCGCCCCCCCCGCCTGGTCGGAGGGGGCAGAATACATGCAAAATGCGGCCTTTTTCAGGCCGACTGGTTTTTCTCGGGCGCTCATGCACGCGGGGTGGCGCATGCATATAAAATAAAATAAATGTTTCTTGCTAAAAAAACTCCGAAGATTTCAACAAAAAAATCGCAAAACAGATCGGACACGGTTAAGGGCCCGTACAAATTTAGGTACCCTAACTTATGATACAGAGGAAGTATATCTTTTCACTTGAGGCCCATCTGTATGTTCTACTGCTCGACGATAATGGGGAAAAGAAGAGACAGCCGTCAGCAAAAAAAGGAAATCAATCAGGGCTTGGCTCGTAATCCTTCCGCACGACGCTTGACATTCGCGAAATATTTTCTTGTTGTCGAGCCGTTGGAATCTCCCTCTTATTCTACACCAATGTCGAGGAAGGCAGCGTACTTATTCGGATACGCAGAATCAGTGGACAGCACAATTAGCATCCGATTACATAGGTGCACGAATATATGTATGCGAGTACTTGTCCCGACATTTGCTGGTAAACTTTGGAAACGTTCGTATTCGAACGTTCGCGTGCACCAGGCTACCTGTCGCCGCGTTCTCTTTGCAAAGGTGCCCCTGGGTGTTACGAAACGCCCTTGAAGGAGCTCCGACAGTAGTACTATTGCGATGGAAATGGAGCCCCTATCGACACAAAAGTAATTTGACTGAGTGTTGCAACCGGCCCTCGCTCTCTTGTGTTTTTTGGGGGGTCGGGGGTTCAGCTGGGTCCATTCATCCGTGTTTCCCGCCGACGGGGGTGGCAGCGCGTCCCAACATTCATCGGGAGCGACAGGCAAGGAAGCAAAGAGTTCCACAATAGTTACTGCCAGCACTGTGGCTGTGACATCCTCTACGGCAGCAGCCGCAGCGGCAGCAGATGCAGCAGCAGGTGCTGATGCAGGCTTGCGTAGGTGGATAACCACCGGGCGTCCACCACGACGCGAACATCTGGTGCTCTGGCTGCTGCGGAGGCTCGAGATCGTCGAGGTAGCGGTCGAGGGAGGGAAGTCAAACGTTGCAAACGAGGATGGGCAGCTAGGCGATGATCGGGAGAGCGGAAAGAGGTGGGTGCTTAAGATATCGAATCGTGAAATCAACACGAGCGAAAAGGGTGTTGGAAACGGTGCCGGCGACGACGAAGACAACGACCACGATGGTACCAAGGGTGCGTCTGTGAGACGCACTGCCAG